AATTATTAAGTAAGAAATACTCTTCACCGTGACTCTACAATTTTTCTGCAAAAATATCGATAGTTAATATGAAGAATTGATAAGTGTTGGAGCTAATTTTTTATCTGTTAGGGTCATATTTGACAAAAGCAACAACGTTAAATCAATAGTTAATAATAAGGTTTTAGCAGCAAATAGATGAGCTATAGTAATGTAGACATTATCAAGGTCTTAACGTAAGAAACAAAACAAATAATACACAATTCACAGAATAGAGGTTGGAACCGATAAAAAAAAATTGATGGATCTACTGTTAGTTTCAAAGTTGAAAGTACAGCTATGGAATCTATTTTCGGTAATGGAGTATGTGTCTTCTAACGATTTTGAAACTTTTGCACAATCACAAGAGTCGACAGATTATTTTCTGGCATGAAAAAGAATAACAATTCTACCAGGGAATATAATTGGACAAAATCGGATAGATTTGGATTATGGTTATGGTTATGGTTCAGAAGTATGAAATATGACCAATTTACAGATGAAATAAGTATTTCTAAATCTTTTTTAAATCTCTTTATTCGGGCTGAATTAAATAAAAGTGTATCAGTTCTGGTTATGGTTTTTGTTTCGACGTATGTTATATACCCGTTTTATTTCATTTTCGGATATCGGTTTAGTTCCGAGTTAATATTTTATTTATATATGTTTGCATTATAAATGAGTTTCTTTGTCAGCACTATTTTATTATATCTAGTTATTTTATTAATTATTTTATTTATCTCTTTGAAAAAGAAAAGTTAGTTCTTCTCTTTTCTATGATAATTTTTCTCTGTGGTAATATATAAAGCTTATGTCCAAAATTAATTCATTGTAGTCAGCAATTTATTCTATCAGTTCTTATTTTACTCAGGGCCAGTTATAAAAACTGTGCCTAAAATTTTTTGATTTGGTTTAAAAAAAAAATGTGTTGGCTCGGTCCCGGTGTTCTTCTGGTTTAATAAAAAAAATTTATATTGGTTCGTTTTGGTTTGGGTTCTGAGTGAATATTTTATATGTGTGCATTATAAATAAGTTTCTTTTCAGGATTAAATTTCTTAATCATTATTTTTTATCATTTTTCATTCTTTTTATCATTCTTTTCAATAGCATTTTTTCTCATTATAGTCAGCATTTTGAATTCACAACTACTCTAAATTAATAAAAAAAATTTATATAGATTCGCTTCCGGTTCTTACATTTTTTTCTGAGTGTTCGGATTTTGGTGTAGTTCCAAATAAATATTTTTTTTATGTTTGTATTGCAATACTGTTTTATAAAATAGTTTTATTCATTCTTTTCAAAAAGAATAGTTGATGAATTTATTCTTTATCTAAAGTAACATCTAACTAAGCCTTATGTCTACAATTAATACCTTGTACGATACAAGGTATTAATACAAGATATTATAGATAATTGTTTATATAAAAGTTGTATTATTAATAATTGTCAATTTAAAAGTTATATTATATTTTTGAGTTATATTAGAAATTATTTACAAAAACAGACAAGCTTACCAACAGCGCGTTATCGAATCACAGAATAGTTACAGGTTTATCGGAGAGGTATGCAGATCTGAGGTCAATTATTGCTTAGTCTGATGAAGTAATAAACAACAATACAGTCAAGGCATAGAGAAGGGTTATGAAGATATTTCGCAGTTAATAGAGAGTAAAAGTGCGCAAGTGCATTGACTCAATTAGCCTCAACATAATAATAAGAAGATCCACTCTTTTAATTCAGTTCAAATTTTATAATCCATTCACTTTAAGATATACTTTTTCGGAATATATAAGAATTGCATTTAAAAAAGAAAAATTGTGAAACTGTGTTATCTCAATGAATATTTAAAAACCATCTATTAATTAAATTTAAAATCATAATCTCTTCCATCTTAGGTATACTTTTGTAGATTATATATATGTGGTGACATTCAAGATTGAAATGAATAATAAAAATTTGAAAAATTAATTAATTAATTTATTTTATTATGCAATTTTTACAACACATTCTTAAAATTATGATATCGAACAAGCTTAAGCTGCACACAATAGAAATACTTCTATATAATACTACATCGCAATGCTAATATATATCCAAAATTTATTTTCCATTTGTATTTATTTATTATCAGTTTGTGGGAACCAGGCTTGACATGATTCCATAGCGATTTCACAGAGAGTTGTTAAAGCCTTGGCATTATCGTACTCTGTAAATATAGGAAAGAGATTTTACGAGAATTTCTATTAATAATTCTTTACTTTAGTGAGTAATAACTTACCAATGCTATTGCGTTTACCAAAAATACTGCCATTGAATGGTGGTTTCCTGTACGCAGCCTCACTAATGCTGAAAATGGTGGCCATTAAAAATGCCACTAGAAAAATGGCAATGGTGAAACGTATTATGGCCATTTTTGTATCTATTTGGTGTATCTTTTAAGTTTAAGACAATATGAGTTGTACACTGGCAGTGTTGATTAGTTCAAACTGGTGTGCTCAAAGCTGTTGGTGGAATACTATGCACTGTACAACTTACTTCCAACTTTTATACTGTTTTCCAAACAGGCAAGGAACCGTAAGAATTATGTGCGCACGCATAATTAAATTGCTGAGGAAATAATGAGTGCACATGGTCAATCGTCCCAAAGGAGTATTCTGTTTATTGGAAATTAATTACAAATAAAGTGGATACAGTAGCTCACTTAATATAGGGGTGTGAGTATTGTGTGAAAATCTAATGCAAAGATTATTGTTTGTTTGTTTGTTTTATTGTTTACTCAACCTTTTATTACATTTTTAAATTTTGTTAAATTTACAAATTTAATTTTACTTTAAAAAAATAAATAAATAAAACATAAAGCCGAATAAACAAAAAAAAAAGATTTCTGTTTATGGACTAATGTCTAATCAAAAATTAAAAGTGGAGATAAACAAATTATAGAGAAAGACTAAAATAAATAACGCCACACATTATGGTGTAGCATTCCAGTCCAGCACTTTGGAAAATTCTTTTTCGCTTATATCTAGCATTTTGGTCTGCTCATAGCATATATTTTGGCGTTTTAAATTGTCGATCAGGAAAAGTTGCTTCTTATAGGCGTTCAACAAATCAGCACGTTGTTTTTTGAGACTTTTAATTTGCTTTTCCTTAATGTCAAATTCACGACGTATATTTTCTTTTGTTTCATGCTCAGCAGCTTTTAACATTGCTAAAGCATTTCTACTGGTCTCCAGTTCTTCAGTGGTGCGTTGTAGACGCTTTTCTAAATTTACATTGGTCTGAAATACTTGCTTTAATTCACGTTTGTTAAATTCGTGTTCCTTTTGCTGATTTGAAGTTTCAGTATGACGTTCTTTAACATAATTATTGGCTTCATGAAGTTTGGATTCCATCTTGCTAAGTTGCTCCTTGAGTTCAGAGTTTTTGGCATATATCATATCACGCTGTTGTTCAAGCTTCTTGTGATATTCCAAGGTCCTATCCAGCAATTCCTTTTGTTCAATCATTTCTTTGGCAGTCTTCTCATAATTAGTCTCAAGTATAATAATTTTTGATTTTAGAAACCTTGTAAAAAAATACAATAAAAGCATACAACATTTAAGTAAATGTCCTACATATGTATTGAATACACCTATATAAGTATGTAGTTATAAATTACGATTACTTATGTAGTTACTCAATTAATACCACATATCATCAACAAAAAAACAAAATTGCTACTATATTACGCTTAAACCGCAAGATTTTATCATGAATATGGTTGGTATATATAAACTTACTTGACCATGGTATCAGAGTTTAGTTGTTTCTTAACATTACAGTTCCCTTCAATAGGACAAATTTCATTTAGCTCACGTAAAGTGGCACATTCATCTTTCACAAGTACGGCTAAAGAAGGACTTTCCGTGAAATTAGGATTACGGTATTTAACTGTAAATGTACAACCAGGTTTAGGACCAACATGGCGAGAAACAGTCTTTGTACACTCAATGGTTTTACGTCTACGTGGTGAATTTGAAACAGTGCTGGCAATGCTATTTGTTTCTCTACGTGCATTTTCCTTTGCAGCTACCGATATTGTACGACTAATAGTACTGGTTTCAATACGAGTCCTCGCTGTCTTCATATTTGGTGAGGTAATTTTCACGTGTTGCGTACGTCTTTGATGATATTCACTAACTTTGGTGGGGCCCTTGACTGCAACGGTCTGCTCTGGTTTCCCATCACCACCGCCACGTTTACGCATTGCGTTACTCTGTGGCTTGGCTTTAGCTAGACCGGTCGCAGTGCCAACATATTTGTATGCTGAAGTCTTGTAGTGGTACTGGGAGGTGTGCTCGAGAGTGGTAGTCGCCATTCTGTTCAAATTCTCATTGATTTTAATGAATTGCTTTTCACGCGAAATCAATTCGGTCATAGCGTTCAAACAATTTGGTCGAAAATAAAAAAAATAGTGCGAAACAAAAATTTGGTTGGAAATTCTAATAAATGTTTATTAATTTACACATTTACACATTTACACAAATTTATACAAATTTTTATTGTGGTATACAGCAAAACTTAAATGAAAGAAAAAATTGTTACGTTTCAACAGAAATAAAAATTTATTTTTTAAAATATTTTCAAACAAATAAACGTTTCCCTTGGTGATGATTTTGATTAATTTTCAAGGGTAGTTTGATGAACATTGAATTACTATTGTCTAGACTGTTAGATTATATATTTTACTTTATACATTTTATTTATAACTTGAAATAAAAATAAATTTAACGAAATTTAAGCTACAGACAGTTTATAAGGATGATTGCTTAGATTACTAGTAAATTCTCCTCTTATTAAATACTAACAAAATTTGGTCCTCCTATAATAACATTATATTTGTACTGCAACCGTAGTCAATATACCTATATTAACTATCTAACAAATTTTTGTACTTAAAACTATCGTAAATATGAATAAAGTATTCAATCATTATGGAATATCATTTTCAGAACACCCAAACAAACTGTACATATTTATATATTAGGTGTAGAGTCAATATCGACCGATTTCTGAAGCGGTTGGCGAATGGTGACTGATCACTAATGACAATGTAAATATGAATAAAGTATTCAATCATTATGGAATATCATTTTCAGAACACCCAAACAATATATTTATAGAGTATTTATAGAGTCAATAACAACCTATTACTGAAGCGGTTGGCGACTGGTAACTGATCACTAATGACAATGTAAATATGAATAAAGTATTCAGTCATTACGGAATATCATTTTCAGAACACCCAAACAAACTGTACATAATTATATATTTCTGAAGCGGATGGCGACTGGTGACTGATCACTAATGACAATGTCAAGCGAAAACGATGTGGTCGAAACTGGCTCGTGATGAGCCACCTGAAACGGTGGTCAATCCAGGATTGACGGCCAGTAAGGTTTTGCTGTGTGTTTGGTGGGACTGCTTTCCAATGGAAAAAAATTTAACTCGGAAGTATAGTGTCAATAATGGGATCGAGTGCATAATAGATCAAGCTGGTCGCAGTATATAAAGGCCTTAGCCTAACCCATAAACTATTACCATGGGATCGTTTGAAGGAAGCAATCGTCCATAAGCGGGCAGCTTTAAGCAATATAAGAGGAATTGTGTTCCATTAGGACAACGCCAGGCCACACATATCGATGATGATTCGCTAAAAGCTCTGCGAGCTTGGTAGGAAAGTTCTTATGCATCTACCGACTAATCCAGATCTGGCACCAAGTGATTACCACCAGTATTTTTTGGTATTTCGGTTATTTTTAAAAATGACTGACTCTTTTGCCAATAGAAAATAAGAGTGCTTGATTAATAGCAGAATACAGTTGGTGAGTAGGTTTGGAGATAATTTTTAAGAGTTATATATAACAATTGCTTAAGTAAAAATTTTAAATTATTTAAAACACTTAAAATAATATGTGATATTTAAAACAATATGTTATTTGGTTACTCTTCCTGCGATTTGGCCATGATTTCTTGATCAATTTCTATTTTTCAAAATATAGATACTATTGATTCACCATAAATCTAATTATAAATTTAAAAAACTTAAATCTAAATAAAATTATATATAAAATGTTACTATAGTGGTAAACTCCATATATAATAGAATAACAGACGTGATCTATATTTATAAGATAAAATTCTCCTGATAAAGATTTCCATAGGACACTGTACTATATAATGCAATGTGGTTATATTGAATCTGTCTTCTAGAAACTCCTGTATGATTAACTTCCTTTTGTAAGAGAAACAAACACTGGAATATATTTTATATACAAATTGAAGTATATGGGGAAAAATTATTTAAAGACTGTTGAATTCCCTCCACTTCTAGTACTTTCTTTTGTCGGTCTTTTAGTTGCAAATTGTAAAAAACATGCGGAATTTTTAATTTTTTGTAATTTTTTAATTATGGCCAGTAAGAAAAAAAATTTAATGAAGTTTTGTACTACAAAAATAAATCTAATAATATTATGTGTGTGGTCATTAAAAATTTCATTCTTAATAAAGTATTAATCCCACAAACCATGAACTTTTCAAAGATTCTAATGAATATTTCATTAGATGAATGACAAAGTTCCGTTCTTTTTATGTTGTTTGTCGCAAAATAAATTACTTGTTTTTTTTTTCTATTTGATTTGGTTGAGTGCCTATGTACAGATATATACTATATATACATAAATTTATTTCTTTTTATTTTTAAAACCCGTTGGTATCTGCAAAAGGCTAAGACACCTACGCGACATTTGACGCTTGTGCTAAAATTAATAAATTAACTTACGTTTCAGCTGGTGGCTAATTCAGAGCCATCATAAACGGTGGCTACTATGATTCACAGACGTCAAATAACTTTAAAGGTAAAAGTGGAAAGATACGTATTTTCCTTATATTTATAGGTTTTATTGACAACTTTTCAATAATAACTGGTAACTAATGAGTTACCAGTAAAGTATATGAGATATGTTCAAATTTTCACAAGTCGTACTTATTGCCAATATATTCAGTTTACTAACCTATAAGTATTTCATAACTATAAATTTTATAAATTTGTATTAGAAATTGTGAGAAAAAACTGAAATATCTTTCAAATATCAATCTTAAAATTGTTAAGTAGAAACAATGACAATATTTCTTTCTTATTACAGGATTAGGAGTAACTTTCAGTAATGAAAGAAGTCATGAGACAAGCATAAGACTGTCAAAATGGATTGATGTTGCCATATATTAAGAATACACCTGCTTTTTTACTTATTCTTCATTAATGACAATATTTCCTTCTTATTACAAGACTAGGAGTCATTTTTAGTAATAAAAAAGTCATAAGTGACAAGCATAAGACTGTGAATATGGATTGATGTTGCCATATATTAAGAATACACCTTTTTTTTACTTATTCTTACAGAAAACTGATCTATAGCATTACTTTATGGGTGTGTCGCGTATAGCAAAGCTGCCGACTCTACTATACAAAAGCTACAAGTTGCTCAAAGTCAGGCTCTCCGAAGACTATTCAAAGTGCCTTAGTACATCCGCACAAACGACATGCTAAGACACCTTAGAATAGACCCGATCAAAAAATGCATAAGGGACAGAGCCCTGAAGTTGTATGCGAAAACTGACAGACTATCCTACTTAGCACTATCTAATCTTAGAGTAATCACTCTCCGCACGGGAAGGTACGCCGATCTTAGATCAATCACTGAATAATCATGAAGCTTATAGGGAATACATAAATTAGTCAATGAGATGGGTGGGACCCTGTAGTACTCCCAGCTATCAAAGTGTAAAAGTGCCCAGTTGCGCTGACTCGAAAAAAGGATCAACATACACACACACATACATACATATGCTTTTATTACGAAATTTAATATATATCAGTAATGTTCTTTAACATTGATTGCTATATATTATAGTATTTGATATTAATTAAGTAGAAGTATATAAATTAAATTAGAACAAAGTATATAAACGAACAAAATAGATAATGACATAGGTATAAGAAAGTATACTTTTACTTGTAACGACCTAAGAAATTAGGGACCTGTGGGTGACTGAACAAGCTTGTACAATAAATAATATAAGACAATGTTGGAAAGAATGGAAGAGATTAAGTCTTTCTTCAGATTCATTTTTAAGAACATTAGAGGAAATATTCCAATACTCAAACAGGATTATGGTATGTATTATAAATACTATTTGATTGTAAAAGCTGTTTGCCAAGAAGTGGAGAATGTTTGAGAGAGTTAAAAATCAGAAGTATATCTTCAAATAATATTAGATATTACCTCTATATTAAACTCTAAATTTTTGGTATATGAATTTTAATAAACACATTTGCTAAACTGTTACTAATATATGTACACCGCGTTATCGAATATCAGAATAGTTACAGAGTTCTCGGGGAGGTATGCAGATCTGAGGTTAATTATTCCTTAGTCTGATGAAGTGATAAACAATAATCCAGTCAAGGCGTTGATAGGCGTTATGAAGAAACCTCACTGTTAATAGAGAGTAAGAGTGCTCAAGTGCACTGACTCAACTAGCTTCAACGTTATAATATCTATGTACTATATTTCACATTTTATATACTGGAATATATAATATAATTTTTTTTATAAGATTTCATTAATCATTATGCAGTTTAATATATATAAAGATATTATTTCTACTTATTTAAATAAAAATCGATTAATTATGAATTACGCAATTATTTTCTGAAGAACTTGCAGCTCTAAATATATGTGGGATTAAACAGATTAAAACAAACTGCCTCCAATTATTGCCAAGTAATTTTTTTTTTTTTTTCATTGTAAAATATTTAATAAATATGGTAAAAATAGCTTAAAAAGCTTGTTTTAAGAATTACCTCGAATTTGCAATTCTAGAATTTGGTGGGCGATTTTACAAAATTAAATTTTTTGTTAAAAAGCCATTGTAAATTAATTTAATCTGCAAAAAAATATTTCATGCCGAAGTTAAATCAGGCGGAAGAATAATTAATTTTTTTTAAATAACGAATTAAATATTAATCATTAAGATTCAACCAGAAGAAAGGTGTAAATGTTATTTCTTAAAAAGGGATGGCTCCTAAGTATACATATTTACATATATTCCCGTAATATAAACATGTGGTCTCTAAAGAATGTTTGATTCAATTTAGTTCCATAGAAAAGAACACGTGTGTCTTTTTAGGACAGAGCTAGCGTATATTACATTAGCTTCAATATTTCTATTCCCAATTTATTAAATCTAGAAAATTCGAGACTAATAATCGAGTTGGTTGTAATCAAAGTCGTCGAATATTATGTGTATTCCGCATTACAGAAAATTATAAAACTTATAAGGTTGTCAGGAAAAGAATATAATCTGCGTTTGTAGAATCAGGATGATCTGTAGAATCAGGAATTTAATTGCTTTGATTCAATATGTTTAAGTTCTTTTTCAAAAATACTCTGTCACTAGTCTTGATGTTACTTGATGAGATTTGAGTTCTTTGATGACTATCTAGTT